CCCTCCCCATTCAAGTGATACCTTCGCCGCTGAAGACGCTAGGAGAGAACTGGCCATCTTCTGGCCGTTGACGCTGGTCTTTCTATAAGAGACCCTTGTCGTCCCAGACATCTCTTGATCAGCTTGAAATGCTGCGCACTGCTCTCACGTCGTTCACGTACCGTACCACAGTGCAACTGATCTCCTCTTCTTGCAACGTCAACGCAGACCAAGGTGTCGTTACTTTCGTGCTGTTGTGAGCACCGTGCCCCGGAGCAAGAGGCCTGTTCCCTGGGTCACCCCCAAACCCGGCACCCTCATCCATACCTACCTTCCCTTCGGGTGACCAGCACCGATACTTCCAGGGCGTCTTACAAAACCGTCCTTCAAGTCCGCCACCCGAAATTTGTTCCATCCTGCACTCCCTTCCACCTATATATATATATATATATATATACACACACACACATCCCACTCCTTAGACATACAATGCTGTCTCTCAACCCGCAACAAGACTATCAACACCAGCCTCGCTGCCTCCCATTCAGACCCTTCACCTCTGGCCGTCCCTCCACCGACCTGCCGTTGTATACCATCATGGCCATGGGCAACAGCACTGCAAGCGGCCTCGGTGCCTCTTCCTCGGCAAAACTGTCCAAGACTGCCACGACTTCATCTGCCACCGTGGCGCAAGCGCTCGAGGTTGCTCGAGAGAGCCCAGATGGCGCCTCAGATTCCACAATCAGCGGTATCCTCGAGACGGCCCTGGAACAGACTTGGTCCAAAATCACCGCACAACCAAGTTCCTACATCATGAGCCGAGACGAGTTTGCTGTCTTCAACTACTTCCAACATCGGTTCGTCGATAACCGTACCGCGACGGAGGCGAGAAGCCGATATTGGGACAACATGACAGGGCCACCCGCCAACTAAGCAGGGAGGGGGAAAGGGTCCGATGCCGTGACGGCGCTTCGCCAGACGGACGCAGACCCTAATCATTTTACCTTAGTAGCACTGCAGATGTTGGTGGTGCTCCAGACTTCGGCTTGGCGACACCCCTCCCTATCCCCGCTCCTCCGTCGGGCGACAGCCGCAGAGCTCTCTGTGCCTGCAAACATGAGCCCATTCCACTGCATCGTTACGAGCGCCCTCATACTTGCAACCCAACCTCGCTGTCCAGGCCAATCGGGTCGAAACAATCTCAGCTCTTGGCGGTCATACGCTGCAACACCGGAGCATCCACTCCTCGACCACGCTCACAAGGGCACAGTTTGCGCCCGGGCGCAATGTTCGACCGACACAGCGGTTGGTGTGACGGGGGCGGGAGCTCCCCGTTCGGGGCCAACGCATCCGTTCCTACCGGTCTTGTCACTCAACCTTGTCGGCATCCAGCAACGGCCAAGGGCTACATGTATGACAGGAGTATGAGGCTTCCGTGTCTCATCTGCTGACGACCCCGTGGTCAATGGAAGACTGTCAGCGAGCGCCGTTTCGACCATGTGTTCGTCAGAATCACCCACGCCCGACAAGGCGATGTACAAATCCCTGGCACTGCCAGCATGGTGCTCGTGGCTCTTCGTCTTTTTAGTGTTTTTGGATGATACCTCCAGTATATCGTTGTTTTTCTACATACTCGTCAGCATTGCGAGGAGCCACATCTTGTATTTTTCATTAATGGCGCACGAGGGGGTTTCGTTATTTTGGGACCATCATGACAGCACTGAACGGCTTATTTCGAGGATGATTCAGGTCTCTCATCCTTAGAAGGGATGACCAGCTTGGGCTATAAGACACAATTTAATCAATGACACATAACACATGGCCATGAGGTGGTTGCGACGAGACTATCGTACAAGCCATGCTCCTGCTTTGGTTTTCTGGCGATTCATGTTGCTGGATGTGGTTGAGAGGTTCTGACCCGATGTTGAAGCTGCACCGGACCAATGACGGAGGGGATTCGGAACATTCTGCCGTCATGCACTGACCAGAGGTGGGTACACAGGTTTGACAGGGTACCTAGGCAGGCGCGATACCACTGTAATATTTTCAGGGCAGCCGCCAAGAGCCTAGGCACTAGGTACCTCGTTCCCCCTCGGCCCCTCTGCCTACTTACCTACCTTACGTCATCTTTCTCTGTCAACCATTGCACGTTGACGCTGCGGCCCACCACTGTTTGATGGCCAACCGCCATGGAGCAAGCATCCTGGATACGACATTCAGCCTTCAACATCCACACTTTGTTTCCGTTCATATGGAGAATCCCGCCGTCGCACGACTCATCGATCAGCACATGCGGCTATTGGGCTTCAAAACCCGAGAATTGCTTTGGGTCAACTGATTCAGCAGGTGCGCCTCAGCTGACGTACACCTCCCCACGTTTGCCGGTGTCACGACTCACAACATTTTGGTGCCACGACACCCACTCGGTGCAGCGTCGGCATACCCCCATACAAATCTCCAAACTCTGACGTTGGATACCGACCTCCATCATGCTGCTGCGTGGCTGGATTGTCGTAGCAGCAATGGCTGTCCCTGGCCTAAGTCTATACCCTGAGGTGTTCGCCTTGTCACGCCAGGCGTCTATCGACTCGCAAAAGCCGATCTCGCATGCCTCGCAGTCCCTGAATGACAATTCCCAGCCGTTGCAGTGTTTTCAGGTCGCCCACCCAGTGCTGGGCCCGACGGGGCCAGTGTACCAGTCTGGCAACGAACCCGGATTCGATGCTGTGCGGTCGAAGGACTCCTGTATTGTGCAACTCATGTCCCACTCCTTCGGCTTTAGCTATGGAAAGCCGTTCGTCGGTGAGTGAATACACTCTGCTGGAAGACAAGACGCCACACGAGAGCTGAAGCTGACAAAGAGCCGCAGGCCATTATGCCCCCCCGCCTGCATGCGAATTCGACAGGGTCATCATGAACTTTACTGTCAGCTCGTCGGGACGGCAGTTTGATCGTCTTGCCCTCATGTTTTTCAATGACACTGAAGTGTGGCGAACTTCGACTGCCGAGCCGAAGCCAACCCCTGGTATCGTGTGGACGTACTGGAAGGACATGACCGAGTTTCTCGCCCTCTGGAAGTCGCCTCAGACGATCATTTTTGAACTTGGAAACCTCGTTGGTACGTGCTCTGACGAATCTGAAGAAGAAGAAGAAAAAAGAGAAATCCCCAGCTCCGTGCTGCTTCTGCCAGAAGCTGACTCTCCAATAGACGAAATGTATACAGGCTCCTTCAACTGCACACTGACGGCAACGTTCTTCAAGAGCCAAGTAATCCGTCAGCACCAGGGTGGCACCCCGGCCGACATGATCATCCCCATCTCAGCAAAGAATGGTGCGTCTGGGAAGGGGAGCGCATGGTCTTTGCCCTCTGAGCAGGCTGTCAGTACCATCCACTTCCCACAACACGCCAATCGTGCTGTATTTTCCCTCTCGGCCAACGGGCAGATGGCAGAGGAGTTTTGGTGGAGCAATGTGCTTCAAAGCGACGTTGATACATTCAACCATACCGCCAGCAGCATGCCAGGCTTGAGTCCGTTTCGAGAAGTTCAGTTGTACATCGATAATCAGTTGGCGGGGGTGCAGTGGCCGTTTCCCGTCGTATTTACGGGTGGTGTGTCCCCGGCTTTGCACCGCCCCATTGTTGGGCTCGAGGCGTTTGACTTGCGCGAGCATGAGATTGATGTTTCAGCATGGCTGCCAGTCCTGTGCGATGGCCTGTCACATACTTTTGAAATCAGGGTAGTGGGAATTGATGATGACATAGCACCAGCCTCCTTGTCAGATAAGATCGACGCTTACTGGGTTGTCACGGGGAAGATCTTCGTCTGGCTAGACGAGCCGGGCTCCGTCACAACAGGCGCGGCGCCCAAAGTCGATGCCCCGGAGCCACTTCTATCAATCTCCCACCAACGACGGCAAGATGGTCACGGAGTCAACGAGTTCCTCGACTACTCACTTCGGGTGCGGCGCGCAGTCTCGGTTTCGGGAGAAGTTTGCACCCAAAAGGGCGCATACCAAGCCTGGTGGCATCAAGAGTTGAGGTACAGCAATCTGGGCCATGTTAGTTCCTTCGGCACCAATCAAATCAACAGGATGACTATTTCGGGTGCAGATGAGGCCTCCGGTCCGCGACAGTACGCCACAGAGTATTCATACCCTCTCTATGCAAACACAAGCTTCAGCATCGGGTCGGACAAAAGCCTGACCATAGAAGCGGAGCTCGAGCAAGGTCTACGCCTCAAAACCTGGGGTCATGCCATTTTCGCGTCAGGTCTTGAGGTCTTTGGTGCTGTCAGCCAAGATGGTAATCAGCTATTGGGTTGCAAGCTTGAAACCCTACGAACAGGCAGAGCAGGCTTCCACCAGTCTGGGGACCGCCGGCGCAGTTCCGGCTCGGGCTGGACGCGGCAGGACTTTTACTTTGGTGGCATTGACTCAGGCTCCAAGGACGACGTCGCGCTCTACGTTCGAAACGTGACGGCCATCAACGACACGGTTGTTTCTGATCGCGAAGTAAGTAGCAGGCAGGGTGACAGCAGCGGTGAGCGCACGATCCTCCGAGATTATGGGAAGCCCACTACGCCGTCAAACTCGCGCCAGAACGCTGGACAGTTTGCGCCACCCAAAGGCAAACACACGCTCTGGGGTTCGTGGGGCGAGTCGGGACACGTCGTGGGGCTTGATGAGTGGTGATGTGGGCAGCAGGGCCAGGGCAGGGCGGTGGTGGTTTGCTCGGCACGGCGACTGGACAGAGTCTAATGTCCACCTGACAATCCGACATGCCCAGTCTTCTACCCACTCACCTTAAAAGTGCATGAGGATGGTAAGACGTCTGAACCCAATAGGCACGCTGCCATGGTCGTCGCATGCCGCATCCCGCAATCGAGGACCAGCGTCTGGAGGCAGGGATTGCACAACGATAGGGTGGCGTGCCACGACGTCGCATCGACTTGAAAGCGCAAACTTTAATCTGACATCAAGCCACGGGGACCAGTGGAAATGGGTGTGAGAAAACCAGGGGGGGCGGCGCGAAAAGAGAGAGGGGGGGGGGCTTGGGGTGGAAATCTCCATTGCTCTTATGAGCTAGGTGTGTCTTGGGAGAGAGTGGAGGAGACGAAGAGAGGAACCGCCCTCCCCCCTCCAGCCTCCAGACCCAGTCGCGGCCCCTGACCCTGGCAGCCCTGCCCTGGGATAGGCTTGGGCTGGCTGGAGAGCGGGGCAGATGCGTGGGCGGGCATGGACATATTCCGCAGTCACCCAGCTTTCTCGTACTTCTCGGAGGATGTGGCCGAAAATGCCACGGGAATACGTATTACCAGGCTCGGAGGACGTCCGCAGTCCGCAGCACCAGCACCATCGCAAACCCAGAACCAAGGATCCAAAAGTAAGCAGGGAGACCAGACAGGCATCTTGTTCCTACAGCTGCTGCGGTTGTCTGACATGGAGCGGTTGGATGGATGTCAATCCACGTCTGACCAAGGAGGAGGCACCCACGGCTCATGCGACGCCGAAGTTTACTGCACAAGCAGAGTGCCTTGGAAGACTGGAAGACGTTGGCTGTCAGTTGATCCTGTCGATCCGGTCTGATCGCATCGCCACGCACCGCATCAGCGCGCGTGCGCCCTCGGTGGCAGCGCGCCTGTCAACTTACCCAGGCGGTGGCACGCCGTTGCCTGTCAGGGGGAGCGCCCAGGAAGCGCCAAGAAGGAGCCGACATGAGGGATAGACACCAGCGACAAAATTCGTCCCGTGTTCGGCGTCTCGAACTGGACGCCGGCGTCATGCGGTCCAGCAGGGAGGGGGGCGGAAAGGTAGTGGGTGACGTCGGAGGTCGGAGGTTGATCGAAAGCGAAGGGCGAAAGTGTGGCTTTTTCGCATTCATTCCGCCTTCTCATCAAACTCTAATGTCTGGAATATTGAATCCTGAGACGGCCGAGCTAGCTTTCCCGACGAGCCGAAGCAGCCTACTGCGCGTGAGGGCGATTTACGAGCTGTCGCAGCAGATCACAGGTCAGGACCAGGTTAGATGATGCTAGGTCAGCACAGCACAATGGTGCCCCATCCGGCGGCGTCCCTCTTGACTATTTGGGGGGCGCGAGTGTGCGTTACCCAGGGACCGGGCAGGGAGGGAGAGTGGGCGGCCGGCACGGCTAGCACGGGTATCCCAGCCAAGACGGCGGTCGACGGCCCCTCAACCCCTTACAGGAGCGAGCAAGCGAAGGGTGTGGAGAAGAAGGTTTGGGACCGGCCAGGGATGGCACAAACCAAGTCAGATTGATTAAGTAAAGAGCCGCACCTTGACGCGAGCGGGGGCGGCGGCAATTGTGAGATGGGAGGGTGGATTCATGAGCATGGGCCCATACCTCCCCGTCTTCTGGAAGGTCTCACGCTGAATGCGATAGGAGGATGAGAGGGAGTGCCCTCCACTTCTCTCCCCACTCCCTCTTCTCCGGGGGCCTGGCTGCGAGTTGGGATGATGAGATGGGGGGGGGGGCCAAGGGCCAGGCTGCGATCACAGTCATGGATCAAGGAGCTGATCACGGAAGAGCACGGGCACTTGCATGCCACTCTGGACGACTGCTGGCTGTTCTTTGTGTGAAGAAGGGCCACGATGGACCGATGTCCGACACCCGGCCGAGGCACGTTGCAGTCGCATGTCGGTCGGGTCGCGGTGGCTGGGGAAAAGCTGGGCCGCCTGTCAGACCAACAGCCGTTGCGACTGTCATGCTGCTGGGCTTGCAGGTCACCAACGTGATTGCGTCTCGTAACCAGTGAACCGCCGATGGACGATATCACCAGTCAGCCACGAGCCAGCCAGCCATCCCTCCATCGATCACAACTTTAAGAGTCAGTCGGCAGGCACCGCGGCCGACCAGCCTGGCGAGACAGCCATTGCGGCCGGGCAAATGTCCAGCAGCAACAAACGAAAACAAGCGATGCCTTCGCCATGCTATGCCCACGACATGCCATCCGTCACATATCACTCCATGCACGCACAAAGTCACCTGCTCTCCTGGCCTGGTCCACCAATCGCTGCTCCGAGCGATCAGCATCACCAAGATTGGATCTCAAGGGCACCTGACAAGGTGTCGCGCTTGGGTTCTGATCCGTCCCCATCATAGGCACCTAAGTATTTCACCCTCCATCCCCCAGCGTGATTGGGGGCTGGCTCACATGGCCCTGTTGTTGCTGTGACTGCTGTTGTTGGCAGTCAGCCACTCCTCCATCTAAGACCCCAGTATTCCCGGCCATGTGCCGTGCCAGGCCCCCATTGACCAGAATGCTTCATTACCTCATCACCGTGCCCGCTATTCCCAGACGCCAAACAAACACATGGCGGGGCGGGCAGAAAGCCAAACGCCTCCGCCCCTGCCTGTCAACCCTGCATCAACCACGGTCCGCCACGGTCTGGTTGGAACAGGGCAGCTACTCGAGCTAGGTATGCCATAAAGTTGCCCTTCTCGGGGTGTGTTCAGGGGCCAGGGCAACTGAAAGAGAAGGAAGGGGGGGGGGGCGTGCAAGTGAAAGTGAAAGTGAAAATGTGGCCCTCTCTGGTTCAAGTAGTGGGATAATCTCATGAAGCTTCCTTTCTGGTCCTTCGGTCACGCTTACGAAGCGCAAGGCCTGAGGTCCCACCGGGTGACCCTCGAAGTCTCATCTCTGAAATGGTACTTGCAAGATACATCACGTCTCGTCTCATCACCTTTTGTCCCGCGATTTTAACTTTTCCCATCATCTCTTCCACCTCGAACAGTCCCGGTTTTATCCCACTCTTCCTGCTTCATTACTCCGGACCACCCCCCCC